TTCTTCCCTCCTTTTCCTTTCTTCTTTTCCTTCCTTCTCTCCCTCCCTTCTCGTTTCTTTTCCTTCCTTCCTTCCTTTCTGCTCATCTCCCTTCCTTCTCATTTTCCTTCCTTCATTTCTTCCTTCCTTCTCTCCCTCCCTCTCTCTTTTCCTTCCTCCCTTTTCGTCTCATTTCTCCTCCTTCTCATTTCTTTCTTTCCTTCCTTCCTTTCTTCTCATTTCCTTTCCTTCTCATTTTCCTTCCTTCCTTTCTTCCTCCCTTCTCATTTCTTTTCCTTCCTTCTCTCCCTCCCTCTCTCTTTTAATTCCTCCCTTTTCTTCTCATTTCTCCTCCTTCTCATTTCTTTCCTTCCTTCCTTTCTTCTCATTTCCCTTCCTTCTCATTTTCCTTCCTTCATTTCTTCCTCCCTTCTTCTTTTCCTTCCTTCTCTCCCTCCCTCTCTCTTTTCCTTCCTCCCTTTTCTTCTCATTTCTCCTCCTTCTCATTTCTTTCTTTCCTTCCTTCCTTTCTTCTCATTTCCCTTCCTTCTCATTTTCCTTCCTTCATTTCTTCCTCCCTTTCTTTCTTCCTCCCTTCTCATTTCTTTTTCTTCCTTCCTTTGTTCTCATTTCCCTTCCTTCATTTCTTCCTCCCTTCTCATTTCTTTTTCTCCCTTCTCTCCCTCCCACTCTCTTTTCCTTCCTCCCTTTCCTTCTCATTTCTTTCCTTCCTTCTTTCCTTCCTTCCTTCCTTCCCTCCCTTCCTCTCTCCTCCCTTCCTTTGGGATACAAGCCACAATGGGTTGGGGGGAACTTTCCAAATGGCCAACCTGTTTCCTGCTTGGCTCCCTCCTTCACGGGGTGTTCCTGCCCCTCCCTTCTCCCCTAAGGGACTCTGGGCGGTTTACAAACACACAACGTAACACAACCACACAAACAAACTCCTGGCCCAACGCCCAGAGAGGGAAACAGAGTCCAAAACCAGGTAAAACGTACATCTTTTGCCCCTAGAGACACCAGAAGGGGAAAAGAATCCGCTTAATGACGGAGGGTTTGTTCAACAGCCACCAGAAAAGGGGGTGGAAGAGCTGCACATTTTAGGGCTGCAGTGGGCAGGCTCCCTGGATGGCCGTAAGTCGAGGACTGCCTCTGAGGGCGAAATCATTGAAATAAGCGGACGGTTTTACAGCCTATTTATGGGCCCCGGAATCGGTCAACCCGCGCATGGCTGGACCGGATTAATTGCGGTTTCACCGGGATTAAAAGCTGATCACGCCACACCACGTGCGCCAGCCGGTCAGCGTTTACCCCCCTGTCCCGGCTGTGACCTGCCTCCTCCAGCTCCTTTCAAAAAGGAAAGAAACTAAATTCCACTTTCCTGCAGCGCCGTTGCATTTAAATTCCGCTTTTATGCAACGTTGCATCCAAATCCCACTTGTATGCCACGTTGCATTTAAATCCCGTTTTTGTGCAACGTTGCATTTAAATCCCGCTTTGATTAAACCTTGCATTTAAATTCCATTTTTTAACCTTTCACCCAAATTCCACTTTGATGAAACGTTGCATTTAAATTCCTTTTTTAACCTTTCACCCACTTTTATTAAACGCTGCATTTAAATTCCACTTTGATTAAACGCTGCATTTAAATTCCACTTTTATTAAACGTTGCACCCAAATTCCACTTTGATTAAACGTTGCATTTAAATTTTATTAACTTTTCATCCAAATTCCACTTTGATTAAACGTTGCATTTAAATTCCACTTTTATTAAACCTTTCACCCAAATTCCACTTTGATTCAACGTTGCATTTAAATTCCACTTTTTTTTATTAAAGTAATCTTTATTAGTTATACATTTTTTTTAGTTATACATTTTTTAAAGAGTAAATAAATTCCACTTTTATTAACCTTTCACCCCAATTCCACTTTGATTAAACGTTGCATTTAAATTCCACTTTTATTAAACCTTTCACCCAAATTCCACTTTGATTAAACGTTGCATTTAAATTCCACTTTTATTTTCACCCAAATTCAACTTTGATTAAACGCTGCA